AGCAGCTGCTCCCCAGCTGCCCCCACGCCGGGTGCTCGGCAGGGGCTGCATCAGTGCCAGGACCCGGCTCCAGTCCTGACCCAGCGTGCCGGGAAGGGGGAGGGGGGTAACACAGCATGCCATTCCCAAACCCACGGAGGCGCCCGGCACTCACCGTCGCTGCTGACGGCGTAGCCGACCGACGCACCGCACGCGACAGAAGAGATGCTGGGGAGCTCCGGGATGACCGTGGGCGTGCTCTTCTCCTCCGCCCCTGCCCCGAGGCCCAGCCGGCCGTACTCTGCCCTGCCCAGGCTGTAGGCTTTACCTGGAGCACAACAGACACACGGGAAAGGTGACTTGAGGGGGCAGAAGCTCGCAGCAGGGACCCTCTCCCTCTGGTCTGACTCCTGGAGGAACATCACCCCTCCCTACCGCACCCTAGATCCCAACCAGGAGGTGCAGGGTGGGATAGAGACCCCCGAAATCAATGGGATGAGCGGGTGCCTGGACAGACTATTGAGCCTGCGAGAGCAGAGTTCGCAGGTGGCTCCGGGTTCCTGACATCCGCCCTGCCCTTTGCTGCAAACTCACGCCACCCTTGTTGCCTTGAACACCGAGGACTTGGAAGGCTCCAGCATGTCACCCCACCCCAGCACATGCCCAGCCCAGGGAGTCCCCCCGTCCCACTTTGTGCGACACCCAGCCCGCCCGTCACATCGGCACTCACCCTCCGAGTCGACGCACACAGTGTGGTGCTGCCCGCCGGAGAACCCGACCCAGGACTTGGTGGAGTTCTTGAAGCACGTCAGGTTCTGCGGGGAGAAGCAGGGCTCGGTGCCCTGGGTCCCTGCGGGGGGGGGACACGCACAAACCCAGGCAGATCAGGCCCGTGGGCACCGACAGCCCAGGCCAGGCACCGGCACTGAGCCATCCACCCTGGGGTTCCCCCCACCAGAGACGAACAGCCCCCCAAGCCCCAAAATCAAATTTCTGGCTGCAGGGGCTGGGACCTAAACCCAGAGCTATACAGAGTGACCCCCCACCACCCCAATTTCCAGCTCTGCTGTGTCCAGTGGATGCTTGGTGTTCAGGATCCAGGGTGCCCAGCAGTGTCCTCCCACCAGGCCAGGGCAGCACGGGACCAGGAACCGCAACCAGACCAAAGCGGGCAGGAGACCTGGAGAGACATAAGTGAAGCTCACCCAGCTGGTGGTAGTTGGAGAGGCCAAATCCGTAGATGTGTCCTTCCTGCGTGACAGCGAAGGTGAAGTAAGCCCCGCAAAAGGCGTCCTGGAAGCGCATTTTGCCTCTGTTGCCTTTGCCTCTGACAGGGACGCGCTGGGGGACCAGCAGGCGCTCTGGGGGCAGGAGACAAGGGGTCATATGAGGATGAATGATTTACAGCCTTTTCCTTCCCGCTCTGATCCAGCTCCCTGAATTCAAGCAATCCATTTACACACAAGGCCTTGAGCAGCAGGGGAAGAGACTGGGTCTCTCTGCTCCTCTGCAAAGCGCAGAGCTGGGGCCAAAAGACGCAGCCCCGCGCACCTCCGAGGACCAAAACAACTCACGCAGCCCTTTCCTTCCTCCTCGGTTGGCAAAGAGCGCCGGCACTCTCCCCAGCTGGCCCTGCTCGCCACAGCCGCACGTGAAGAGGTCACCATCCACCGTCAGCATCACCAAGTGGTCATTTCCTGGGAGGGGACGAGGGAGATGAGCGAAGCAGGAGTCATGCTTCAGGAACCCAGCAAGACCCAGGGGCTGAGATCCCACACGTAAACCTCAGCTGTCCCAGCTTTCTAGAATTCAGTGGGGATACCTCGATGCCACCTCCTGGCACAACTTAAAACACCAGGATCTCCCTCTTCCTGGTCCCAGCTCCTCATCTGAAACTCCAAAGAAGTTTCTCTGGGCAGGTTTAGGGGAACAGGTTCTCCCCAACTCCACCTGGGCCCTGGAAAAGTTCCCTGGCTGCTCTGCTCCGCTTCCCCAAGTCTAGAAGAGTGCGAGGGCTCTGACCTCGCGGGGTCATGGTTAAGGCATTTTACACCAGATCGGGTCAAATATTAACAATACTGTTGGGGCTAGAAGAGACACAAGGTCCGTTCTCTCAAGAGCCAGAGAAGAGCAAGTTACACCCTTGTACCTGGCTCGGAGCAGCCAGGAGGGAAGAAAAGGACATGGACCTTCTGGACCTTCACCTTCTCGCGAGGGCTACAACAGCCTCGTGCACCAGCCTGACCCCCACGCGGACCCCAGGACCTTGCTCACCTGAGACAATTTTAACGACGGGTGCACTGAGCTGGAGCAGCACGGGAACGGAGCTCGTCTTCATGGGCTCCAGCAAACCGATCACCCCGTTGTTATCCTGGGTGGAGAGACAGACAGACGGAAGGACGTCGAGTCACAGAAGCAGCAACCATCAGCAGAGCTTCCAGCGTCCGAGAAATCAACGTACCCGGAAAGAGCCCCAGACAAAGACCCTGCCGTCCTCCGTCAGCGCGGCTGTGTGACTGTCCCCCGCAGAGACCTGCACCACCTTTTCCTGCAGCTCCACCAGCCCCGGCGTGGTCTCTGACCCTTCTGCCGAGGTGTCGCGCCCAAGAGCACCTTCATCGTTGCAGCCAAAGGTGTAGATCTGCAGATAGAGAACGAGACGGTCAGGATGGGACCCGGAGGGGCAGTGGGTTGAGCGTGAAGCCAGGGGACAGAGACCCACCAGGACAAATTATCCCTTTGACCCCCTAAAATTTTGTGGTCCGTGGTATGGAGATTGTGCTCATCCCCAGGGCTGGAGCGAGCTATACGTCTGGGCAGAGCGGGGTCTGATGGAGTAATCTATACGTCTGGGCGGAGCAGGGTCTGATGGGGTAATCTATATGTCTGGGCAGAGCGGGGTCCGATTCAGACCCCCAGCTCCAGGACACGTCCCAGAGCTTGCGGGGAAGCATGGCTCACCCCCCGCCCAGTGCTGCACTCACTTTTCCCGTCTGGCTGAGGCACACCGTGTGCATCCCTCCGGCTTCCACCTGCACCATCATCTCCGGCAACGACACCAGAGCCGGCTTCTTCCTCTCCATCACGTCCTCGCCCAGGCCCAGCTGGCCGACGTCTCCCTGTCCCAGCGTCAGCACCAGGCCGGGCTCCGTGCGGTGGGACGGGTGGCAGACTGCGGGGCAGAAGGGAGATAAATATCACATAAAACATACGGGGTGGTGGTGGGGGAACAATCCTTCCTTTAAAGCTGGTCCTTGGGAATAGGGAGGGAAAACTCCCAGGGGTTTTTCTTACTTTTAATCTTCTTCCTTCCAGGAGATTCTTCTTCCGGCACCGGGCTCTTCTTCGCGGTGCGTTTCCCCGGCATGGCGCCTCGGATCTAAACACGAAACGCCCTGTTAGGGGGTCACCCACGGGGCTGCCAGTTCTTTAGGGTTCCCCCCACTTTAAAATCACCTCGGGACCCCTGAGGGACCGCTGACTGAATTAGGATTTTGGCACCCATCTCCGCCCCCACTTTGGAAAGATGTAGTTTGTTGGGGTTTGGGGTTGTTTTTTTTTT